CCCCGCCCCGCCGGGGGGCGGGAGCCGGTCTGTATGTGGGATCCGAACACTCGGGCGGGAGCGCCGCCGCGCTTCCCAAGCGGCGCACTTATCCAGTGCGCCACCGGGCCGGCCCTGTACAGATCTTTTTGTGGCATATATTTACACTTATTTTTGGTAAATAATTAGGACTGAAATTGCTGGGTCATATGGTAAATATATTTTGAACTTTATAAGGAAGTGCTATAGCTGTTTTTCAAAGCACTTATACCATTTTACATTCCCACCAGCAGTGACAATTCAGTTTGCTTTATCCTTGCCAACATTTGTCAGTCTTTTTAATTTAGGCATTCAAGTGTGTATGTAGTGTTGTTTCATTGTGATTTTAATTTGTACTGATGACATGGAACATCTTTTCTTGTGCTTGTTGGTCATTTGTGTGTTTTTTGTGAAGTGTCCATTCAATCTTTTACTCACATTTATTGGGTTTCTTATTTATTGGTTTTTTTCTTATTGAGATGTAAGAGTTCTTTTTAAATTATGGATACACGTCTTTTGTCAGATATATGAGGGTATTCAGAAAGTTCCTAGAAAAATGGAATTAAAAGATAATACAAATCTTTCCATGAACTTTTTGGAGACTCCGTGTGTGTATTACTAATATTTTTCCATGAATATGGCTTGCCTTTTCCATTTTCTTTACAGTGTGTTTGAGAAAACAAGTATTTAATTTGAGTAAGTCAGAAATCTAATATTTTTTATTCATTCTTTCTGTGTCCTATTTTAAGAAGTCTTCACCTACCCAAAGGTCTCAAAAGATTTTCTTCTCTGGTATCTTCTAGAACATTGGTTTTTGTTTTTTTGTTTTTTTGTCTTTTTCCGTGTCCGGCAACGGATCGCAACCCTCAGTGTCGCCCCCGTACCGGACCGGGACCGGCAACGGGATCGCAACCCTCGGCGTTGCTCCCGCGCCCTGCTCAGCCAGCGAGCGGGAACCGGTCTGTATGTGGGATCCGAACCCTCGGCGGGAGCACCGCCACGCTTCCCAAGCGGCGCACTATTGCAGTGCGCCACCGGGCCGGCCCTAGAACATTGGTTTTTAACGTATGATTCCTGAACTTTTGGTTTTCCTGAGACCCTTCAAGAGATCAATGAGATCAGAGCTACTTTCCTAATAATACTTGGATTTTATTTGCCTTTTTTCACCCTCATTCTCTCGTGAGTGGAGTTTTGCACAGGCTGCCTGACTTATGGGGTTGCAATAGACTAAATGCAGAAGAACATAGGAAAACCAAGCTGTCTTCTGTTAAGCAAGACATTAGAAAGAGTGTCAAAAAGAGAAAACAGTGCTGCTCTAATCACTAAACATTTTTTGCATTGGAAAATACTGTCACTTGTCATAAAAATCTGGTAGATCAATATAATGGGTTTGTTATCTAAAATTAATAAGTATTTTTGAGTGTCCTGAGTTTTAATTTCTAATACAGTAAATATCAATAGATATAACCCACATAACCAAAGCTCTCTGAATGCTTCAATAATTTTTTAAAGTATAGTGTTTCTAGGGCTGGCCAGTTAGCTCAGATGGTTAGAGCGTGGTGTTGTAATACTGAGATCAAGGGTTCGGATCTCTCCACAAGCTAGCTGCCCTCTAAAAACAAAGTGAGTCTAAGACCAAAAGGTTTTTGAACCCCTGTTATAGAAGCTTTATGGTTTTAACTTATCTTTAGGTCTAGAATCCATATTGAATAATTTTTAAGGATGGTATATTAGGTAAGGGTAGACGTTCAATTTTTCCCATATGGATATCCAGTTATTCTGGCACCATTTGCTGAAAAGATTATCTTTTCCCCATTAAATTTCCTTAGTTCCTTTTCCCACAATCAATTGACCATAAATTTGTGGGACTATTTTCTGAATTTGCAGTTCTGTTCCCTTTATCTATATGTCTGTCCTTACGCTATCATACTCTCTTGATTATTGTCACTTTAGAGTAAGTCTTGAAGTCAGGTAGTGTTAGTTAGTTCTCTGTATTCTTTTTCAAGATTACTGGGCTCCTTTAGGGCCTTTGCATCTATAAGTTTTAAAATCAGCTTGTCAATATCTACAAAAAAGCCTAGTGCAGTTTAGTTATTTAGGACAGGTGGTTAAATCTGGCCCTGGGCCGGCCCGTGGCTCACTCGGTAGAGTGCGGTGCTGATAACACCAAGGCCCCGGGTTCGGATCCTATATAGGGATGGCCGGTTTGCTCACTGTCTGAGCCGTGGTGCTGATAACACCAAGCCAAGGGTTGAGATCCCCTTACCGGTCATCTTTTAAAAAAAAAAAAGAAATAGGACCAATAGAACCGTAAACCTTCTATTTGTATGAAATCTGAGGTTTCTGTCAAATTAGACATGGAAAATTAGACAAAGCTGCACAAATTACTGATCTGTGCAGTTTTTGAGTACTTCTCCCTTTTGTTAGACTCCCCTCTCCCCCGCAGGTGACTGGTTCTCTTGAATACCAGTACAAGAATGTTATGATTAATTACTCCATCATGGCTGGAAACCCCTTGTAATTTTCATTTGCTAAACGATCATAAATCGATGTTGAATTCTACCAAAAGTTTTATCTGTGTCTTTCGAGATATTTTTATTTTAAAATTTGCTACCTAGTGGTTGCCTTGATTTTTGCTAATGTTATACCGACCTTGTATTCCTGGGATAAATCCAATCTGGTCGTAGATGGCTTTAAGCCAACCATGGAATTTTTTTTACAGATTACTAAATTTTGTATGGATATATTTTCTTTAGAATTTTTACTTTTATACTCACGAGTAATTTTCCTTTCAACTATGTTCTTGTTAGATTTTGCTATCAAGATTATGCTAGCTTCATGGAAGGATGGGAAATTTTCCCTCCTTTTGTGTGCTACGGAAAAATTTGTGTATGATTATAATTTTTCGGTCCATGAATGTTTGCTGTAACTTTCCATAAAAGCATTTGAACTCCATATTATCTTTGTGTGAAAATTTTAAATTACTGAATAGATTTCTTTAATGTTAATAGATTTTTTCTAATTTTCTATTTTTTCCTGTCAGTTTTGTTAATTTATATTTTTCTACATAATTATCTATCTTGCTGTAAGTTCAATTTTGAAGCCATTATATTTCTTGTATCCTCTTCTTTTTAATTGCTACCCTCTCTTTGTTTATAGTATATTATTTGTGCATTTTCTATTTTTATTCTTATTTATTTTTGACAGATATCTGTAAGTTGGGAAACAAAACTGTACTTCAATTCTCTCCATTTTGTTTTTATTTAACCCTTAATTTCCAAAATTACACATTTTTGACTCTATTAGATAGCAGCTCCTCAGCTGCAGCCATTGTCTTTCCACTTCCAACCTGTACTATGCTTAACATAATATTTTTATGGAATTCATCTCACATTTTTTCTACTAATGTAAATGTATTTACAATGAAGAAAAAAAAAAAAAAAAAAAAAAAAAAAAAAAAAAAAAAAAAAAAAAAAAAAAAAAAAAAAAAAAAAAAAAAGCCATGTTGGAAAGACTGAAAGGATTGCCAAGTAGCCAGAGCTCAGAGAGGAAGTGGAAGCGATGCTAGATGAGGCCAGAAAGGTCTGCAAGGGCCAGTGTGTGTAGAGTAAATAGTGAAAGTGATGTTCCATAAATATTTGCTAGTGAATATTTAACAAGAACAGCAGCTGTTTATTGAAACATTTACCCTGTGCTTGGTTTTCAAGCACTTTACATATAGGACTCATCAAATCCTCACAACTGCCCTTGAGTTAGATATTTTTTTCCTGTTTTACAAATGATAGAAGTAAGCATCTGAGAGGCTAATTGATTTGTGCAAGGTCACACAACCGGAATAAATGACAGAGCCAGGATTCAAACTCATGTCTCTGAATCAAATGTCCACACACTCAGTCCTGTTGTGGTCCGTATTCTAGTACTGGAACTGTGAGTCCCAGGCTTGGCTAGGGAATAGGTGAGAAGGGTGATCATTAGGAAAGGGGCAGGTGTGGCATCTGGGAGCGTGGCTCAGTCACTATGCCGGTAGTCCACATCAGGTGCTGAGGGACTGAAGTATAATCGCCAGACTAGAGAAGTGGGTTGCCTGTGGGATATATCTCACAAGAAGACTAAATGGACCTTGGTGCCTGATTCTTTGTCTGTCCCTAACTTTGCCTGATATAGTGATTTGTGTAAGATATGTTTGTTGTTTTGGTTTTCATCGGAAGAGGGCACCTGTTTCTCTCTTGAGTTCAGGTTGATGTGTAGTAGAACAAGTACAAGCTTTGGATCCAGAAGACCTGGGTCTGAATCCTTAATCTGTCAATATAGATATGTGCCATTGGGCTAGTCCCTCAGCTTCAGTTTCCTTGTAAATGGACACAGTGAAGAGTGGTTGAAAGGACCAAAGATAACAAGAAGTGCTTGCACATGCTCTGCAAGCTATAGCTGCTTCTGCTGTTGTTGCTATACCATGTCATTACAGTTACTACTGTTGACGTTATTAACATTATTAATAAGAGATCTATCAAGGTGGGTCAACTTGGCCAAAATTGTGTTTTTCTTTCCTATCAAACTTGCTCTCCTTCCTGTGTTATCTGCCTTGCATAATGTTACCACTGACCTACGCATCTGAGCCACAGACTTGGGCGTTGTCTTCACCTCTTCTTTCCTCCTTACCCAGCCTCCTGGTCATGCTGAACTTGTTTGTTACCTCTCTGCACATGCTGCCTATTAGCTGGGATGTTTGTTCCTCTCCCATCCTCTTCCACCTGGACTTGCCTGTTCAGGAAACCTGTGTCCTTCTGTCACAATGTAATTGTATTGTTATATAATTAGTTGTGTGTATGTCTGTCTCCACCACCAACCTCCATGCTTTTCTGGGTCAGGAAATGTGCCTGGTTATATCCTCAGAAAACAACAGTTTAGGCTTGACCAAAGTTTATTGAATTGTGGGGTCATGAACCCATTCTTCAGACTTCCCCTACACTACCTCTATTGTCACCCCATAAGAATTCAGAATCACAAGTGCCTCTTCCCAAACCTTCAGTCCAGGTTGCTGCATGTTGTTCTGAGGAGAGATTGGCCAGGTTGCAAGCTGAACGTGAAAGTCTGTGGCTTGAGGGCCGGCCTGTGGCTCACTCGGTAGAGTGCGGTGCTGATAGCACCAAGGCTGCGGGTTCGGATCCCATATAGGGATGGCCGGTTTGCTCACTGGCTGAGCGTGGTGCTGACAGCACCAAGCCAAGGGTTGAGATCCCCTTACTGGTCATCTTTTTAAAAAAAAAAAAAAAAAAGAAAGTCTGTGGCTTGAGATGGTAAGCATAAAATGAGGGAAGATGAAGGAGTAGAGTATATGTGAGGAGGTGATGCCATATGACCTTTTTTAGGGAGGATAATGGGCATCCTCAGTGGATGCAAGGACCACTAGGGATCTAAGAACTTGTATATTCAAAGCCTCCTAGACCCGCTCCTCTGACATTGAGCAGCATTTGAAGATTGGTAGTAGTGAAAAGAACAATGTCCCAACCCAGGGAGGATAATGGGCATCCTCAGTGGATGCAAGGACCACTAGGGATCTAAGAACTTGTATATTCAAAGCCTCCTAGACCCTCTCCTCTGACATTGAGCAGCATTTGAAGATTGGTAGTAGTGAAAAGAACAATGTCCCAACCCACCACCACTATTAGCACTGCAAAAGAGAAAGACTAATAAAATGAACAGCTGTTGATCTGGGGCCAAGATGTGAGAGGCACAATGGCTCTGCTCTAGCCTCTGTGCAGTGAGCCAGGGTGAATATCATCATTTGTTTCAGAAGTTCTCTCTTTGGTCTTAAAGCAGCTAAGCTGGCATTTTTGCTGCTTTGTCCAGTCCCTTGAGTTTCCAAGAGCATTGTTCTGTACGTCGTTGCAGGGCAGGCTGGGAGCTTCTTGGGTGGGTTAGCTCTTCTCCCTCTGCCAGGTAGGTAGGTAATGGCTTTTTCCTTCCTGGAGTGTCAGTTCCTTAAACTGGGGAGAGTGTTTGCCTCTTGCTGGGGTAGGTCTGAACTGGATCCCTGAGTGTCATTGGGTTCTGATCTTACGTCTTCTGTGTCCCATTCTCAGAGATTTCCTGGCTATATGTTCTTCTAGGATGCAGCTGAGAATAGAACTTCTGGGAAATGTGATGGCCCAAGAGGAGATAGGCAGGGAGGGAGAGAGGGATTACAATATAATGTGATCTCTGCTTTCACCTGCAGGTCACTGCTGAAACTCAAGAGAAAGAAAAACTCATCACACATTTGCAAGAGAAGGTTGCATCCTTGGAGAAGAGACTGGAACAGAACTTATCAGGGGAAGAACATGTACAAGAACTCCTGAAAGAGGTAACTTCCACTTTCTTTGTTCCAGCTGGTGTTGGAAAGTCAGTCATGACTCTTGTGATCTTGGAAACCCTGGAGTTTCAGAGCTGGAGGGTCAGCAAACAGCATGATGAGAAGCACACTCTCTCCAGGTTTGGGTTGTCCTGCCTACAGCAAAAACAGCGTCACATCGCCTGTGGGTGAAGTGCTTTTCTCATGGAAAAAGGAGAGCTTTGTTCAGAGGCATGTATGAATACATAGCATCCTGATCACTAACAACTGCACCTAGTGATTGATGCCACTTGAGCTGTCTTGTCTTCCTGCACTGCCCCCATCCCCACCCTTTTGCACTCTCCATTGGCCAAGGAAACAGCCACCATCTGCCCTTTGGCATTAGCAAGAATTATCTTAGGCAGTGCTCTCTTCTTAGTTGAGGGAGGCTGTTCAGCAACTGGCCTCTTGCCCCGTGGTGTCAGTGAACTTTCTCATTAGGCCTGAACTTATTGTCTGCCCACATTCTGCTCCTCCTCCTCTTTGTATCCCAATGATTGGCCTTACCATGACAAAGGTGACAAAGCAAAGGCCTTGGCACTCATCCCAGGTTAGACCCTCACTTCCTGTCTTCATTCAGTTTCAACTAAATATCTCCATCTCCACTGCTACTGTCATACTTCAAGTCTTCCAGCACCTCTACTGTAGTGTATGTCAGAAGTCTCCAGACAGGCCTGCCCAGCCTCAGTCTTTCCTCATCCTGTACACAGTTTTCCATGCTCACTGCCAGACTGGTCTTCTTAAACGACATTTCTGACCAAGTCACTCTGTATTAGTCCGTTTGTGTTGCTTATAACAAAATATATGGAACTGGGTATTTTATAAAGAAAAACGACATTTATTGCTTACAGTTTCTGAGGCTGGGAAGTCCAAAGTCCATCTGGTGGTAGCAGCAGCGACCTGGTGGTCTCACATTGCAAGATGGTGGAAGCAGAGAGAAAGAGAAAGACAGACTCTCCTCTTCTTTTAAAGCCCTCAGAACCACACCCTTGACCACCATTTCTAATCCATTCACTGCTACACGGTCCTACAAGCCAGTCACCTCTTCAAAGACTCCACCTTTCAGTTACCATAATCGGATTTCCCACCCTCTTAACAGTCACAGTGGAGGCTAAGTGTCTATTACATAAAACTTGGGGGACACAATTCAAGCTTCAGTGAATTTTGAGGGGACATAATTCAATTCACTACACACTCCCTAAACACTTCCATAGTTCTCTTAAACAGTCTACAGTGAGAATAAGGTAGGTTCTAAGGTATATATTGATTTCTAGAATCAGACTGCCTATGTTTGTAACTTGCCTCTTCTACTCACTAGCTTGTGACTTAGAGCAATTAAGTTAATCTCCTTGTGTTTGTTTCTTCCTCTGTAAAACTGGTTTTATTAAAGCACCAAACTCAATAGTTGTTAGGATTAAATGAGTTACAGTATGTGAAGTGTTAGAATGATGATTGGAACATAGTGGGATCTCAATATATCTCAGCTATTATTATAATTATTATTGTGCTGTCATTATCATAAACTTTTTTGTACAAAGGAGTTACTTAGAGAGTTTGTTTAAAGTATATATCCCTGGCCCTACCCCCAGAAATTCTGATTTTAACAGGCCTGGAGTAAGGCCTCAAGTTTAACAACCACCCCAGGTAAGTCTAATGCTAGGGTTTAGAAGATCCCCACTTTGAAAATTGTCGCCTACAGAATGAAGTTCAAACTCCTCTTTTTGCAGCATTGAAGAGCCTGTCATGATCTGGCCCTTTTGCCTAACTTTCTAGTCTTGACCTAAACCCATTATTACTTTGGCGTCTGAGGAGTTGTATATCCCTGAATGATGCAGGCTATTCACATTTCCGTTGGTCGCCCCTCTGCCTGGGATGTCCCCCAGCCCCTGTGAGTGAGGAAGCCTTCATTGCCCTGTGGCAGTGAGTATCTCCCTCTTTGTGGGCACTTACAGTCCTCTATTGTATAATTTTCTTTTGTTAATCTTATGCCCCAGCCTCAAGGTCAAAGGACTGTGTCAAATTTATCAGTGTATACTTTATCACATGTGAATTATATCTCAGTTAGCTGGGTTTTTTAAATGTATTTGTGTCCCTTGTGCCTAGCACAGATCATAGTATGTTGTGGATAACAGTAAGTATATATTCAATGGAGAAATGACTATTTTCTTTTACTTTTCTTTCAACTTACAGAAAACAGTTGCTGAGCAGAATTTGGAGGATACCAGACAGCAGCTCTTGGTAGCCAGAAGCAGCCAAGCCAAGGCCATTGATGTCCTGGAGACTCGGGTACTGACCTTGCTCCCAGTGTTTCCTGCATTTGGGGGTAACCTGGCTGAATGACATCGTGTGCCTGAGAATCCCCTTGGTCAGAGTTTTTTCATTTAAAGGGACTTTTTGGGGTCTTACTTATTACAGGGTGTGTTATTTTCTCCATTCTTGCCACGTTACCGTCACTGTTCCACACAAAGTTGTTATCTTGTTTATTTATTCTTTTTTATCTCATTGGCCTCCCTCCCGAATGTCCACACACTCAGTCCTGTTGTGGTCTGTATTCTAGGACTGGAACTGTGAGGCCCAGGCTTGGCTAGGGAATAGGTGAGGAGGGTGATCGTTAGGAAAGGGACAGGTGTGGCATCCAGGAGCATGGCTTGGTGGCTATGCCAGTAGTCCACATGAGGTGCCGTGGGCCTGAAGTACAGCAACCAGACTGGAGAAGATGGTTGCCTGTAGGATCTATCTCACAAGAAGACTAAATGGACCTTGGCGCTTGATTCTTTGTCTGTCTCTAACTTTGCCTGACTTAGTGACTTGTGTAGGATGTGTTTGTTGTTTTGGTTTTCACTGGCAGGGGGCACTTGTATCTCTCAAGTTCAGGTTGATGTGTGTTGGATCCAGATGACCTGGATATGAATCCTTGATCCCATTAAAGGAGTAGGAGACCATTCAAATGCAGTTAATATAGATCTGTTCAATATTGGGTTATCTTAAAATGAGTAGCATTGTTTTGTGTGCATATATTTTTAAATATTAATGTAAATGATACGACTATGGTTTTGTCTTCTCTGTTTGTTTTGACCACTCCATCTTCCATGTGTATCCACTTCACTGTACTTACCTACTCTACATTGTAGTTATCCACTAGATGTTAGACACCCAGATTGCTGCCTTCTTCCTGCCACCAAAGATTACACTGCAGTGAATGACCTGTCCCTTTCTCCTTAAGGATGATGGAAAATGTTTATAACCTAATGTGATGAAGTAGGACAAGAGTGTTCCCAGAGGGCTGTACCTGGCTTTCCTCCTCCAGTATGCATGAAGGTTCCTATATCTGTATCTCTCTTTCCCAGCATTGGCATTTCCCAGCCTTTTAATTTTTTGCCAGTTTAATGAGTGTGAAGTGGTATTTCATTGCTTTAATTTGCATTGCTATGGTTATTAATGAATTTGACCATCTCTTCATATGCCTGGTAGTCTTTGGAGTTTCTGCCTTTGGAATTGCCCATTCATATCCTTACATGGTTTCTTTGGTGGTTTCAGTCTTTTACTATTTGATTTGTAGGATTTCAAGTACTATATACTATATTCTAGTTCCTAGTCTTTTGTCAGTTTCAGTACTGAACCAGTCTGTTAACTTCATCCATCTATCCACATTGAAAAGAAATTCTTGGGGCCGGCCCGGTGGCGCACTGCTATAGTGTGCCGCTTGGGAGCGTGACGGCGCTCCCGCCGAGGGTTTGGATCCCACGTACAGACCGGCCGCTCACTGGCTGAGCGAGGTGTGGACGCAACACCGAGGGTTGCAATCCCGTTGCCGGTCCCGGTCCGGTACGGGCGCGACACTGAGGGTTGCGATCCGTTGCCGGTCACGAAAAAAAAAGACAAAAAGGGAAAAAAAAAAAAAAAGAAAAGAAAAGAAATTCTTAAGTTTGATGTAATCAGATTCATTAATTTTTTGCTGTGTGGTTTGTAGTTGCATTTTAAAATCCATCCCTGACTGGCCAGTTAGCTCAGTTGGTTAGAGCACAGTGTAGCACCAAAGTTGAGGGTTCAGAGCCCCATTCCAGCCAGTTGCCCAAAAAAAAAAAAATTCATTCCTGCTACCAAGTCACAGAGATCTTCTTCTGCATTTTCTTTCTATTAACTTTATAAGTTTATCTTTCACATAAAAGATCTCTAATTAATTTATATAGTGTCTTTGTATGTAGTTTAGATAGGGATCCACCTTTATTTTTCTCCATATTTTTCAACACAATTTACTAAACAATCTGTCCTTTCCACTTTGATTTCCCATGCTACTTTTAGCATATATGAAGTTTCCATATGTTCACAGGTCTGTCTCTGCACTCTTTAATATACTGGTCTGATTGTCTGTCTTGTGCAAACTCTACAATGTCTACATTATGTCTCAGTATCCGATATGACAAGTTCTCCCTTTCTTTGAAAGTTGACTTAACTGTTTGTGGACTTTAAAGTTTTTATTTAAAGTTATTGTAAGTTTTGGGGTTCCTAAAATATTCAACCTGAATTTTTATTTGGATTGCATTAAATGTATAGACTATTTGGAGAGAATTGCCATTTTTATAAGATTAAGTAACTCCTTCCAAGAATGTAAATAAATTTCATTCATTCAGATTTTTTGTGTGTGTCCTTTTCCAAAATTTTATATTTTTTTCCCAGTAGATGTCTTACTTTCTTGGTTAAGTTATTAATTCCTAGAAACTTTAGAGTTTGTGTTGATACTATGAGAGTATAATTGAAAACAAGATATATGTATATATATATACATAAACAAGATGTATATATTTATACATCACAGTATAAATTTTTAATTGGTTATTTCTGGTTATTCTAGAGAAATGCCTTTTTTTAAAGTTGTTCTTGGATATTCCATCCCTGCCTGAACTCTTACTCTAATATTGTATAATTTCTTTTGTTTTTTCCTAGGCAGATAATTATATTATCTGTAAATAATAACACCTTGATTTTCTCCCTTCCAGTCTTTTGTCCTTACAGCCTTGGCAAGGAGGGCCGGTACTATATTAAGCAATAGCAGTTCTAGTGGGAATTCTTATTTGATTCCCAGTCTTAAAAGGAATGTGCCTGAAGTTTCTTCATTTGGTACAAAGTTTGCAGTAGGTTTTTGGCATTTAATGTTTACTGAATTAAGGAAGGATTTGTTTGTTTTTTGAAATCATAAATATGTAGAAATGCACTGATTGAAAAAAATTATAATTTTTTTCCTTTTGTCTGTTAATAGGGTGAATTACATTAATAGATTTTCTGATGTTGAACTTTTGTTGCATTGCATTTCTGTGATAGCTACTTGATGTATTATTTTAATAATAAATGTCTGACTTTGGTTAGCTAATATTTAAAATGTTTACATCTACATTTATAAGTTAAATGGGCTTATAATTACTTGGCTGTAGAATCATGCTACACCATCCTTGTAAAAAGAGCTGGGCAGCTTTTGTGCTTTCCATTTTCTGAAAAAAATTTTATGAAGATACAATTTATTTAAAATTAATACCTATAGGGGCCGGCCCGGTGGCGCACTGCTACAGTGCGCCGCTTGGGAAGCGTGGTGGCACTCCCGCCGAGGGTTCGGATCCCACATACAGACCGGTTCCTGCTCACTGGCTGAGCGAGGTGCGGGTGTAACACAGAGGACTGCGATCCCGTTGCCAGTCCCGGTCCGGTACGGGCGCGACACTGAGGGTTGCGATCCGTTGCCGGACACGAAAAAAGACAAAAAGTTAAAAAAAAAATAAAATAAAATTAATACCTATAAAAATTTGGTAGAATTCACCTATAAAAACATCTATATCTTTGATTACAATTTCAATCTTTATTACTTATTAGTCTAAGTTTTCTATTTCTTTTTGATTCAATTTGGCATTTTTTCTTCCTTCCACAGTTTATCCATTTTATCTTGGTTTTTGAATTTATTAGTTTCTAATACTCTTAAAATATAATGACATGTAATAGTATATTTGCCTGTAATAAATAATACATATATACAGTAACACTGTTTTCTTTTTTAATCTCTGTTGTGTCCCCATGTTTCTGTATTTTGTTAATTTGCATACTCTTTTTTTCTTGATTAGTTTTGCCAGAGGACTATCTCAGGATTGGGCAGACTATGACCCTCAGGCTAAATGTTGCTAAGAGACAGCCCATTTATTTTCATATTATCTATGTCTGCTTTCTTGCTACAATGGCAGAATTGAGTAGTTGTGACAAAGACCATATATTTATTGGCTCTTTACATAAAAAGTTTGCCAGCACCTGAACTATCTTATTAATCTTTTGAAAGAACCAGCTTTTGGTTTCATCTGCTCAAGTTTTTATTCTCTTTTTGTGTTTCTTCCCTTTATTATTTTTTACTTCCTATTTCTTTAGGTTTGTTCCATTCTTTTTCTTTTTTTTTTTAAAGATGACTGGGAAGGGGATCTTAACCCTTGGCTTGGTGTTGTCAGCATGACGCTCAGCCAGTGAGCTAACCGGCCATCCCTATATAGGATCCAAACCCGTGGCCTTGGTATTATCAGCCCTCCACTCTCCCGAGTGAGCCACAGTGGCCCTTCTGTTCTTTTTCTAATTTCTTGAGTTGAATGCTTAGCTCATTTTTAACATCTTTCTTATTTCCTGATAAATATATTTAAAACTATATTTTTTTCTAAAGGTTGTTTTGTTTTATTATAGTTTAGTTCTATTTCTGAATATCCTTTATTATTTTTTTATTGTGGGAAAATATTCATAATATAAAATTTAACATTTTAACCATTTTTAGGTGTACAATTCAGTGGCATTAAGTATATGCTCACTGTTGTACAGTCATCACCGCCATCCACCTCCAGAACTTTTTTATCTTCCCAAACTGTAACTCTATACCCATTAAAACAATAACTCCCGATTCTCTCCTACCCCGAGTCCCTGGCAAGCACCATCCTACTTTCTGTCTCTATGTGTGGCACTACGGCAATGTCGGAATCCTGCTGACTGGGCCAATTGTCGAGCTAGGGCTGAGTCTGGAGCTCACAGACCCCTCAAGCCCGTTGTCCAGACTGGGTCACAAACCCTTCACATGCCAGGCCGGGTCACCAGACCTCTCACATGCCAGGCTGGGTCCCCAGACCCCTCACATGCCAGGCTGGATCACCAGACCCTTTACACCCAGGTCTATGAACTAGGTAACTGGCAGACAGGTCCTTGGAAGCCATAGGTTGGAAAGCATGGCCTCTTGGTGTGGCTGCCGCCCGAGGCAGTTGCCAGCCAAGGTGGTGGCACTGTGCATGCGCACCAACTCCACCCACCCACCCACACACACACAATTTGTTTACTGAACCACCCCCAACTGGCCCTGAGGGGAGGGGAGCCTGATTAAATTATTCTATTTTCCCAACAATATGTATTTGAGTACTCTAGGTCCCTCATATAGGTGGAATCATACAATATTTGTACTTTTGTGTCTGACTTATTTCAGTTAGCATGTCTTCAAAGTTTATACATTTTGTAGCATGTATCAGAATTTCATTCCTTTTTTGAGGATGAATAATATTCCATTCATCCATTGATGGACATTTGGGTTGTTTCCACCTTTTGGCTATTGTTAATAGTGCTGCCATGAACATGAGTATACAAGGATATTTTCATTTCTTTTGGTTACATATCTAGGAGTAGAATTGCTCTGTGAGTTATCATATGGCCCAGCAGTTCTACTCCTAGGTATATAACCTTTTGAGGTTCTGAATCTTTCTTGAACTCTGTCTCTAAATTGAGACTTGGGTAGATGTTCTCTGAACCCAGGAGTTCAAAAGAGTAGGTTTTAGTCCTGTCTCTACCACTAATAAAATATGTGGTCATGGACAAGTAACATTATTATTCTCCTCTATGAAAATAGTAACCATTTCTCATGGGGTTGTTTTAGTTAAATCTTACATATGAATGTATGTAAGGAACCTAAGCCTTAAAAGTATCCTTCTCTCCTTGTGTACCTTCCTCTCCTTCACCACGCTGCTTGTGCTTACGTTTTGATGATAAAGCTCTCCAAAGTCAGACCTTATTCAGTAATCAAGAGGGCTTTAGAAGAGAAATTGGCAAAGATAGCTTTAGTCAGATAAAAATGCCAAGTGCAGCTCAGTACTGGACTGTGACTCCCTTGAGGGCCAAGCTGTGTCTGTCCTGCTCACTGAGCATCCTTGGGTCCTGGCATGTAGTAAGACTTAGTCAATATTTGTGGAATGAATAAAACCTAAATTTGTATTGTGAGCAGTAATCCCACCTTTGGGTAATCTATCCTAAGGAAATGATTTAAACCAGGTCAAAAAATTCTGTGTGAAGGGCCGGCCCGTGGCTCACTCGGGAGAGTGCGGTGCTGATAACACCAAGGCCACGGGTTCAGATCCCATATAGGGAT